AGGCCTTCAGCCTATCTGGACCGCTCTCTGGGCCTTCGGCCTGACTGGACTGCCTCACAGGCCTTCAGTATATCCAGATCGTCGTGGTATCTTGGCCTTTGTATCCGTTGATCTGCCTCAACCCAGTAAACCATAACATATCGATACATAACATTATCAATCAATAACAGCAAACACCGGTAGTCCTACAGATCTACCAGTCTAATCACATAGCCATTACCACATAACTCTCCATAACAACATACAACAAAACAGGATATCTAATCCAATGGGCCGGCCTTGGTGCCTCAACCCATAAGTATAGTGAGGAAAACTCACCTCTTAGTTCGAATATAGTCTGAATGAATCCTTGCTCTAACAATCGGCTTTACTCGACTCCAAATAATATAAACATTTCCCATTCTAAACTAATAACAATTTCCCAAAATACCCTTGGTCAAAATCGGTCCAAATCCACAAATCAGTCGAGTCAACCCAGCCGAGTCAACCCAACCGTGTCAACTCAGTCGAGTCAACTCAGACCTCATATGCGGGGCATAATCATTGTCCAAGGAGTCGGGCCTCAAACTGCGTACGCACAGCATACCAATTGGTATGCGCAGCGTACGCACTGATTCTCCACTTAATGAGTTAAGTGCTTAATACAAAATCTATTACGACCAAATTGTAGATCCATGTCCCAAATATCATCCTTGACCATAAATTTTCCAACTTTATGGTCTTGCATGGCCAATAAGTGTTAAATGCTAAAAACCCTACCCTCTTAACTCATTAAGACAAAGAAACACATGCATGGAGAAGGATTAAAAGCCAAAACCCTATTTTATGCTTCTAAATCCAAAACATCTGAAAGGGCGGCAAGAATGGATTAGAGTATGCCATACTCCAAAAAGGTCAAGACTTGGGACAAAATGCTCATGAAACAAGAACTTAGCTAGATCTAAGGAAATATAAGCCAAGTTTGAAACTCTATACCTCTTGGAGGTTGCTAAAGTGGTGAGGATCCCAGATCCAAAGCTTCTTCAAGCTTACAAGGTGGTTCTACTTCCTTCTTTCTCTTTCAAGACTACCAAAAACACAAACAATGGTCAAGAATTCTCAAGTAAGTGGCTACGGTTTGCTAAAATCATATAAAGGTGTTGTAGGTTGATTAGAGATGAGGTTGGAGTCCATAAAGATGCTTAAATAAGGTCTAAAACCTAAATCTTAGGGTTTGAAACCCCCGCATGTACACCCTGCATACGCGATGTATGCCCAACATACTAAGCCCTCGCATTTACGCCCTGCGTACGAAGCGTACGCCCAACATACTAAACATTGGGCCCAAAATTACAAAAATGCCACTATGGGCCATTTTGCAAGCTTTCTCATTCACAAGGGCTAAAAATCATAAACCTTCATACTTAAGGGTTAAATTTGGAAATACCTTATCGTCGGGATGTTAAACTTGACCAAAAACCAACCCAAGTCAAAAGTCAACGGTCAAAGTCAATGGTCAATGTTGACTTCAGTCAACCGCTATGTCGTGGTCTTCCTTACCCACGTCGTGTCCCTCATATAATCGATCAAGCGGATAATTCCTAGTCGACATGTCATGGCGACCTATGGCTATGCCGTAGGCACTGGATTCCAATAACTTAATGGTTAAGCCGATTCCAAGAGCTCTAAATCTCAGATCTGGTCCATTCTATGGTCTAAATGGATAAAGTTTCCAACTTTATCCATTAAGACACCCAAAGAGATCAGGATCTCCATCCCTGGTCCAAATAAAGCCAAATACCACAATGTATTTACCATTAAGCCCTTAACCTGAAAATGTCCTTAATCCAACCAATCCAGAAAGGTTTATAATACCAGATCTATCATAAAGGTGGAAGCTTTATGGACATGCATATCCAAAACATGTCTAAAATCCATTTTAGTTCATGATAAGTTTAAAAAATGCTCAAAAACACATGTAACGAAAAGAACTCCAACCAAAGTCTAGATCTACAACATATGTTGCTCTTGGGACTCAAGAGAGTCATAAAGTTGCCAACTTTATAAGTTTCTTCCTTCCAAACTTGCTAAATCATGAAGAACATTAGACAATAACTTAGATCTAACCACTTTAATCCATAAAGATTGATCCTTTAACACTTATAAAGGTCCAAAGGCTATGAGAGATGTTGATGATGTTACTTCCTTGCAAGTTTCACCAATAGATTACCTTTTTCTCCTTCTTCTCTTCTTCTCCAAGCCAACAATGCTCCAAAAAGGCCACAAATCATCAAGGTAATGAGAGCTAGGGTTTCTCTAAGGTATGAGGGTGCTCGAGGCTGGTAATGAACCCTAGAAGTGCTTAGAGGGGTTTAAATACGAATCAAACTCTAAAAGAATCATGAGCTTGGGCTAGAACAGTTGTTACGTCGTGGCCATCCTTGTCCATGTCGTGGTGGTCCACCACGACATGCGATCCATCTGATCATTGCCACATCGTGGGCATCCTTGCACCACATCGTGGCATAGGGTTTCCCCTAAAACTTCATCTTTGGTTCCTGAAAAGAGTAAGTTTAACCAATCTGGAACACGGGTGTTACAAACGAGTTTGCAGAAGTAGGGAAACTTGTTGTCGGTGTCGGTGTCGGTGTAACTGGTGCTTCAAACCCATCACCATCTTTGCCACACCTTAATGGTGTCGATGTTGGTGTCGATGTCACTGGTGCTTCAGATGACAGTCCAACTCCCCATCTGCCTCCTGTTTCAAGTTTAAGTTACATAAAGTCTGGTGGGACTAACACAGTCAGAAACCAATGGTGAGTATGCCGATGAAACAATTGAAAACGGATGAGTTCTTGACAGAAAACGAGAAACAATATCTGGAGAATGGAAATGAGTTTGAGGTGGGATTATTAGGGCCAAGATTGTGATTGCATTAGAAACCAATAGTGATGAAGATGTGGCGATTGAAAAGCACAAGCAGACGTAATTATGTGTTGAAGACTAACTGGAATGAGTTTCTAAAAGAGAACAAGAAGGATTTGAAGCCACATTCAAGGATTTGAATCCATTCAACAGATTTGATAGCTTATTACAAGCTCGTACATCACACGACTTTTGTTACAGATCTAGACTCAATCCATTCACAACCTCACATTTCTCAGTTGCGACAGACTTGCTTCGCCGCAGTTTAGGTACAGCTCTCGACGATGAAGCACCGACATGGCATCTGGTCGGGCGATTCATAAAAGAAAAAGAAGGGGGAAAGATCAATCGATTTTGGAGAGAAGGTGGGTAATTGTATTTTACTGGGAGAAACACACATTGTTTGGAAGAAGAATACCTAATTTTATTGTGGGCCTCGTAACATTGCATAGGTGGAATTGACAAAATAAAATCTTTATTTAGTAAAATGTCAAATAAGCAAAAGAAAACTGAATGACTCATTCACAACTCTTAATGGTGTAATTTACAACAAATATGCAAGTTTACTCACCTGTTGCGCAGAAAAATAACTTTGGTGACCAAATCAGACAAAAATGACTAATTTGTTGGGCCAATATGACATTTTCCCTAAGAGATAATAGCAAATGATATATATATATATATATATATATATATATATATATATATATATATATATTATTTTCCCTATTAATTAAGAGATAATAGCAAATGATATATATATGACATTATTGATCATATTTTAATACAAAAATAATGTTGTAATATTCATTATTTAATACCGTGATTCACTAATTTGCAATCTTTTTTATTTTCTATTTGAACTTTTGACACAATATGTATATTTTAAAAAATGTTCCACGTTGGTAAAACAAAGTATATAACTTAATTAAAATACAACGCTAAAATGGATTCAATTTAAATAATGTCTTTCATATACTAGAATAATGTGGAATTTTAATGAATGCATTGGAAATGATCTAACCATTTCATACTTTTTAGATCCATCCATTTGATGGGTTCATTTTGATTTAAGCTTTAAATTTCATCCATTTAACCTCTTGACTAAAAAAAATAACTTTTTCTGAATTTAGTTATACTTTTACTTAAATAGTCAAAACTATGACATATGTCAATATGTCACCGTTTTAGAAAAAGGAAAAGAAGAAAATATATTATATTTAATTTAGAATACGAATTCGAAAAGATGATGTGTAAGAAATTGAATCGTATAGGGGTGAAATATATAAAGGCCAGGTTGGCAATGAGAAACTCATGTATTAACCGAAACATATTACCATTAAATAACGTCTCAACCTAACAATATATTAACATGCCAGCTGTCACCCCCTAATTAGGGAAACCTCCACTATGGCATGCATACACCCCCGTTAGGTCATCATACATAATTACCGATTTACCAATAATTATCATATCATTTATATTAACAAGTTTGTTTTAAACGATTTATAAATTTTAATGTTGCATTCTAATATAAGCAATGTTGCATTAAAACAACAGCCCATGAACCACCAATAACAATGGTTGTGATTTTTACCAATTAACGTTCATGTAATTTGAAATATGTATTTTAGACCAAATTTTATTTAAAAATTGTGAATTTATCACATTAACATATAACTTGTATAGACCACTAACCAAAAAAACATTATATTAATCTATATAATTTTGTGTCATTTAAATTCCGTTTCTTTAAATAGTCTAATTATATTTCCTTAAATAAGATGTCTACCTTGTGTTGTATTTTATAGGATTTTTGTGTTTAATATAAGAGTTTTGTGTAGGTATTGAAAAAAAATCATAAAAATATTTAAGGTTTTGTTGTGTTTAGTATAAGGTTATAGCACATATATTAAAATAGGCGCAAAATTAATAGTAATAATTTGTTTATAATTTATAAATGGTCTATAACATTTTGTACTAATATTTGTTAAAAATGTAAGAGAAAAATAGGGTAAAACAATGTGCCCTAAAGGTTGTACTATTATTGCCTTGTTTTTTTTCTATATATATCACACCATCGATGTTCTTTTCTCCCCACACCCACTGCCACAATCTTTCTCTCCCTCTCTAACCTTTTTGTTTCTCTCTCTACACACGCCACCGTAAACTAAACAACGACCACCGTCTGCCACCATGCCGGAAGCACCAAAGAATGAACCCACCACCGACTACAGCCTAACTGAAAAAAACAAGAAATCTCTTCAGTTCATAGAAGATGTCACCTCTAACCCCGACGATATCCAGCAACATGTCCTCTCCGATATCCTCACCCAAAATGCCACCGTCGAATACCTCCACCGCCATGGACTTTCCTGCCAAACCGACCGGAAAACGTTTAAAAAACTCATACCAGTCATCACCTACGAAGACCTTGAACCTGATATCACACGTATCGCTAATGGAGACAAATCCCCCATCCTCTCTTCTCACCCCATTTCCGAATTCTTAACAAGGTATTATACAATTATACAATTATAAAATTATACGTGTACATGTTATATGTATAGATATTTGTATTCATGATGTGGGTTTTTGAAATGGTGTAGTTCAGGGACATCTGGAGGTGAGAGGAAGCTAATGCCCACCATTGAAGCTGAGCTTGGAAGAAGGTCGTTGTTATACAGTCTTTTAATGCCGGTGATGAACCAGTTTGTGCCCGGTTTAGACAAAGGAAAAGGAATGTATTTTTTGTTTGTTAAATCGGAAGCTAAAACCCCAGGCGGGTTAGTAGCCCGACCCGTTTTAACAAGTTACTACAAAAGCAACCATTTTAAAGAACGCCCATTCGACCCGTATACAAACTACACAAGCCCTAATGAAACCATTTTATGCCAAGATTCATATCAAAGCATGTACTCTCAACTGCTTTGCGGGTTGGGTTTAAACCAAGAAGTTTTACGGGTCGGAGCGGTTTTCGCTTCCGGGTTCATTCGTGCGATCCGTTTCTTGCAGAAACATTGGACGCTTTTATGTAACGATATACGAACCGGGTCAGTGAATGCATTGATCACTGATCCGGTTGTAAGAGAAGTTGTACTTCGGGTTTTGAAGCAAGATCCGAATCCGGATCTTGCTGACTTTATTGAACATGAATGTTCGAAAAAGTCATGGCAGGGTATCATTACCCGTCTATGGCCAAACACTAAATACGTGGATGTTATTGTAACCGGAACCATGTCACAATACATTCCAACACTCGATTACTACAGTAATGGCCTCCCTCTTGTTTGTACGATGTATGCATCATCGGAATGTTACTTCGGTGTCAATCTTAACCCTCTTTGTAAACCTAGCGAGGTTTCCTACACTCTCATCCCCACCATGGCTTACTTCGAGTTCTTACCGGTTGGTGTCAATGATCAAGAACATAAACAAGAAGAAGAACAACAACAAGAACTCGTGGATCTTTCAGACGTGAAACTAGGTCAAGATTACGAACTCGTGGTCACAACATACGCCGGTGAGTTTTTATAAAAATGTGAGCTTGAATCTTGATGATTGATTAAAGTGATAAAGTCTAAAGATAATCTTGATTTTCCGATGATGATCAGGGCTTTACAGGTATAGAGTAGGCGATGTGCTACGAGTTGCAGGTTTCAAGAACAAAGCACCACAATTCAGTTTCATATGTCGGAAGAATGTGGCGTTAAGTATCGATGCAGACAAAACAGACGAAGTCGAACTACACCAAGCAGTTGAAAAAGCATCGAATCATTTAACTCCATTCGACGCAACCCTGATCGAGTACACAAGCTTCGCCGACACCACCACCATCCCCGGCCACTACGTGATCTTTTGGGAGATAAGTTTAAACGGGTCAACCACCGTTGTTCCGCCGTCGGCGTTTGAAGACTGTTGTATCACCATTGAAGAGTCGTTGAACAGCGTTTACAGGCAAGGACGAGCTTCGGATAAGTCAATCGGACCACTGGAGATTAGGATTGTTGAGAATGGGACGTTTGATAAGCTCATGGATTACGCTATCAGTTTAGGTGCGTCGATTAACCAGTATAAAACTCCCCGGTGTGTGAAATTTGCGCCGATTGTTGAGCTGTTGACGACGAGGGTGGTGGCGAGTTACTTCAGTCCGAAGTGTCCGAAATGGGTTCCGGGACATAAGCAATGGAACAGCGTAAGTTAAGAGTGTAGGTAGGAATTGGAGATGATAATGATGATGGAGAAGAAAGAAGATGATGAAGTATTAATTATGTGTATAAAAAAGATGATCGATCGTGATTTTGAAGTTGAAGAAGTTGTTTAATTTGTGGAATTTAATGTAATTGTTTTTTTTAAGGAATTGATTAATGATGTTAGTATCCAATCCAACCAGGAATCCTGCCCACTTAACTTTCATGGGGTTGTGTTATTAATATTTCCTAGGAAAGCAAACTACCTTTTCTTCAATTCTACTTATGACTTATTTTTCCAAAAATAGTTATTTAATTCATTTAAGGAACAATTATGAACGGTTATTCTTTCTGTTCCAAATCAATATTCAAAACAGACAACAAATGGATTAGTTCAGGATTATTGCTATAAAATATGTGTATTGTTTTTGAACCTTAAATAATGATTTACATATTTCATTTGTCATTATTGATTTTTTTAACATATATAAGAAGTTGTTTCATATGTTTTTTTATTAGATCCTGTAAATGTTAGATTTGACTCGATTAGATTTAGATTGTTTAAGTGATTTGTATGATAATTTTTTTCCAAATACAATAATTTATATTTTATAGAGTTGTACAATACAACATTTTAAATATACAAAAATTTATCGTTTTTTAGGCGTATATATTACCTTTATACACAAAATGAGTGGTTTATTTTGAATAAAACGTTAATGAAGTATTGATTAATTATAAATTGGATATTGTATTTCTTTTTTGTAAATATAGATATTGAAGTGACAAAGTTAACGAATTTGATGGGTTGAGTAACGGATTGGATTGTGTTATGTAGTAACGTTGACTACTTTTTTAGTTAACTAATTGTCGGATTAAAATAATCAAAAAGAATATAATGGTAAAATAATAATATATTTGATTAGATTGTAAGGTCTCAGACTCTCAATGTCAATACACTTAAAGTGATTTTCGATGCGTTAAATTCATTTAATCTAATTTTTTATTTAAGTGGTGTTTGCATAATAAGATTTTTATTTGTTTTTATTTTTTGAGTTATGGGTGTGTTTCGGAGCTACTAATTTCTAGTGTTTGACAAAACGGTCCGTTTTGAACAAAAAATCTCGTGTTGCACTACAAGTTTTTAGCGTTTAGTTTAAACAAAACGTTTCAAATCTAAAAGTTATCTCACGTAGTTTTTAACAAAACGCTACCAGCTACCATTTCTCCGTTACTCATTACCAACTAGTTTTGTCAAACACGTCTTATAATTATCGTGACTTTTATATATGGTTCATGAAACTATATGAAAATACATAGGCCTAATGTATTTGGGTAACTAATATCATTATAAATGAATATTTAAATAACTAATTTATAAATAGTACAATTAGTTTTTTAAGGGTTATTATTGAATGATAACTTCATATTTGACAATATTCATTTTATTATACTATTTTAGAAAACCAAAAAATCATTACGAACTTTGTTTTCTTTTAAATAAAACTTAAAATTAATTATTGATTTTTTTTCATTTAAGTCATAATTTTCTTACTAAAGTTGGTAAACATATAAAAATGTTTACAATAGCTTCCTACGAACATAAGGCAAATCATTCTCGACTTTTTCCGATAGAGAATGAGTTGTTTTGGACAGACAATCTATACATAGGTGAATTCATGAATAATTTAGAAGTAGATTAAATTTATCGTTAAAAAAAATCTAGATTGCCTTAACTGTAAGCATTTGTATCATGCTAACCGATTTTAATAGGCAATTAATGAATTAAATAAAAATTATCTATAGTTTCTATACAAAAAATATATAACGATTTTTTGGTAAAAATTTGAAATGTAAGACTTTTCAAATATAATTATTCAAAAATATAAATAACATAAGAGAAATTTATAAAAATAGCCTACTTGTTAATGAGTTATCAAAAAATAACCAAAAATTATGGTTTATCCAAAAATAGTCAACGAAACCATAGATGAGGCAAACAAGTTTGTGGTTTCGTCAATTCGTCTACAGAATTGTCTTTCTCGTCTGCGATGTGTTATCTAAAAAGAAATCACTTTGCCTACTTTCGAAGACACCGCAACACCCATGTTCCAGATTGGTTAAGCTTATTTCTATCAAGGACCAAAGATGGAGTTTTGGAGGAAATTATGTACAACAACGTGGCAATAATTAAATGATCACGTGTTTTACTTGACCGCCACGGCATGGCAGCTGTTCTGGCCCAAGCCCATGATCTTTTAGGGATTCCTTCGTATTTAAGCCTCTCTAAGCCATTTCTAGGGTTCATTTCCAGCCTCTACTCCCCCCCCCCCCCCTTTATACCTCAGAGAAACCCTAGCCCCCATTCCCTTGGAGATTTGTGGACTTTTTGAAGCATTTTATAGCTTGGAGAAGAAGGGAAGAAGGTGCTCTATTGTTGGATCTTGCAAGGAAGCAACACCATTATCATCTTACATAGCTTCTGGACATTTGTAAGTGTCAAAGGCTCAATCTTTTTGGCTTAAGGTGGCTAGATCTAGAATATTGTCTCATGTTATTCATGTTTGAGCAAATTTGAAAGGAAGGAACTCATAAAGTTGACAACTTTATGACCCTCCTGAGTCCCACGAGCATCATATGTTGTAGATTTAGACTTTGGTTGGAGTTCTTATCATTGCTTGAGTTTTTGGGCATTTTTAGCTTATTATGACCTAAAATGCATTCTAGACATATATTGGTATGGATGTCTATAAAGATTTCATCTTTATGATAGATTTGATATTTGAAAACCCTTCTGGAGTGGTTGGGTTAAGGTCTTTCCAGATTAAGGGCTTAATGGTTAAGACATTGCGGTATTTGGATTATTTTGGACCTAGGGTTGGAGATCATGATCTCTTTGGGTGTCTTAATGGACAAAGTTGGAAATTTTATCCATTTAGACCATAGAATGGACCAGATCTAAGCTTTGGAGCTCTTGGAATCAAAGAAAGCAGCTTAATCTATTAAGTTGTTAAGAACCCAACGCCCACGACGTGGCCATAGGTCGCCAAGGCGTGGCGACTGGGAATTTCTCATATGTTTGGTCGTATAAGGGCCACAACGTGGCCAAGGAAGGCTACGACGTGGCGGTTGACTAAAGTCTATGATGGTCGTTGACTTTTGGTATGGATTGACTTTTGGTATGGATTGACTTTTGGTCAAATTTCTATTTTTTTTTCAAAGGAAGACTTAAGGTATACCTTGTGTGGATTGTTAGGAGGTGTTTAACACCCATCTTTTTGGCAGTGAGAGTTGTTAGTTGTGGTTGGCACGACATTGAGCTTTGTGTTAGTCAGCTTTTTGATTCAGGTGAGTCTCTTCACTATACTCGTGGATCGAAGGCACTAATGTCATCCCACTGGATTATGGTTGTAGGATGATAGTTGTCTTTCTAACACTTGTTGATACGTTTGTATGTGCTTGATTGTCTATGTGACTATTACTGGTAAGATAGTATGTTATATGCATGGAGCCAATTTGGGCTCAGAGTCATTATGGACTCGGGGTTGATATGGACCCGGGAATTGATACGGACCCGACACAGCTACATGTTGTTACATGGAGTCATTATGGACTCGGGGTTGATACGGACCCTACACAGCCACGTGCATATGTGCGATGTATGTGGTATTTTAGGGAACTCACTAAGATTTGTGCTTACAGTTTATATTTAAAATGTTTTCAGGTACTACTAGTTTCAAAAGGAAGGGCCAGCTTGATCGCACTGCATCACCTAGAGATTTATTCCACATTCACTATTTATGATTTTACTTTGATGTTTTGAGAATACTTTTAGTACGATCGTCTTTTGGGATAATGAATGAATGGTTTTGACTTATTTAAAATGAAATTTTTACTTTGAAATTTTGCGACGTTACAACACGATATCATATATTACATATAGCCATTTGTGGTTTCCTCACAATTCGTATGAGCTTTCCTCTCAAGTCTTTTTTTAATGTACAAGTAAATGATGCACATTCTATGCAATTAAGACTTGTATCATCGCATATCTTCATGCTATCTATAGTTTCATTCTTCAGTTTTTCCAATTTTCAGGCAAATTTCATACAAATTACTTCTAAATTTCAACATAAATGATAAAAACTATATATAAGATTACTTATAACATTATTTGTGGAATGTCCTCTTCAGCTATTAGAGAGAGAATTCTTGTATTCTTGAGTGTGAAAATGAGCTATTTTTTTTAGGATTTAAATACAATGGATAATGGGCCGCAAAACCACATGTAGGTCGCGAAACCACAACCCATTTGACGAAATCGCATGTGTGTTACTGAGTCAACCGACGAATCCACAAACATATTGACTCATCTATGTTTTGTTAATTATTTTTGGATAAATATTAATATTTGGCTTTTTTTAGCTAAGTCATTAAGTATGGAGGGTATTCACCCCTATCATCTCTCCTCACTCACTTGTCATATCATTTTTTTCTCTTTCTCATTTATTTTCTATCTTTCTCATCTCAAAACATATGAATTAAACTTTACTAATCTAAAACAAAACAAAAATATAAAAAAATAAATTAAAACTAACATTTAATTTAAAAAACATTACAATAAGATTAAATCCTAAAACGATAATTTAGATGAAAAGAAGTACTTAAAATACTACAAACGACAAATTAAAAAGACAAAGTGATAAATTAAATCCAACTACAATCACTAAATTCTAAAAAATGGTGATTTTTTAAAATATTTAGCGTCACCTCGTAACGAAAATCTTTCATACTATGGTGTTTGTGATACCCTTTTTGTTACATTTAAAACTTCTTTGTTGGAAACTTCAGCTCCCGGGTATTTATCGTGTGGGTGAACATAGCACTAAACTCTTTAACTTTAGGCTGCATATCTTTCTATTTGGTAGAAATTTGATGCGTTGAACGATTCGAACCCCCAAGTTATTGTTTAAAATGATCCATAATTGTTCCCCGAAAATATGACGATTTGTTTTTGTTTTCGAGAAACTTCTAGCCAACGCCACTTCTTCATATTCGGACCATTCTACGTATCTTACAACTGGCCTAGAAATAGCATCAATTTTAAAAGAAATTTGATTGAAAGCGAGAATGAAATTTAAATAGAAATGGAATAGACATGAATTGAA